GTTTCCTCAAGTGCTTGGGCAAATTCCTCCACTTTACTTTGATCGCGAGTCTTGCTGATGTCAATACGTGGTCTTCCTTCCTTTTTCGTATGATATAATCTCTTTGTTTGCAGTTTTACTCTACTACACACCAGGGCGTGATCGGTATTGCAATCAGCACTCTGGTAGCTGCGTGCGATCGTAATACTAGGAAGGCTAGAACCTCTAGTGAGGATCAAATCGAGCTGATGCCAATGCTTGGATCTTGGATGTCTCCAAGAAACTGTGTTGAAGCTTCGTATTAAAGAATGTGTTGCTGACACAAAGACCATAATAACTGCACAACTCCAGCAAGCGTTGGCCATTTTCAGTGAACTTTCCAATGCCTAGACAAGTGGGCCAAGAATTGTGATCAGCACCAACTCTAGCATTATAGTCTCCGAGAGTGAACAATGCTTCTCTTTCAGGGACTTTTTTTATAGCAGCTGCCAGATAGTGATAGAATTTGTCTTTCTATTCGCAAAGGCTTTCACGGTCGGGATCTAATGGTTGTTGTGGGTTTCTTGGGCTCTTTGGCCCCGTTTTGAAGGTTGTTTTTCCTAACGTTTCACCAGTCTCTGTGGCCGGCATCTTCAGAGGACAGCACAGAGTGAAACGTTAGAAAGAACAACCTTTAGAACACGGCCAAAGAGCCCAAAAAATCCACAACAACCAATTTGTCTTTCACTTCTGTAATGGATGACAGTGTTGGTGCATATGCACTAATGAGGGTGACTGGTCCTGCTGATGAGTAGAGCTGCAGAGACAGGATTCTTTCACTCCCCACAGTAGGTAGAACAATGGATCTCAGAAGAGTATTTCTTACTGCAAAGCCAACACCATATTCCCTGGTTTCATTCAATGGTTTTCCCTGCCAAAAGAATGAGAAGTGTTTTGTTTTTTTGACAGATCCCAATTCTGGCAGTCTCGTCTCTTGCAGAGCAACAATGTCCATCTGCAGTCTACTCAGTTCCATGTAAATGACAGCTGTCTTGCGCACATCGTCTATTTCCTGCAGGTCATCAGAAAAGCCATAGTCAGAAAAGCCAGGGGTCATTGTCCGTACATTACGGGTGCCCAGCTTTAGAGCAGAAGTTTTCTAACGATTGTTGCATGGTGCACAGTTATCGATCTGCTTGTCGGGTTTGACTCTAAACCCCACGCACCCCGTGAAGTTAACAGACCGTGGCGAGGTAGCACCTTACTGGCTGGGGGCTGCCCAGCTTAAGGCAGGCGGGATCTACCTAGTGAGGTGCAATGACCTCTCCCACCATCAGAAGTAGCCCCTGGCGTCATGCTCTACGCCAATCAAGCAAAGACTTTTAACCGGTAACTGCTACTTCCCGTGTTGTTTTGACACTGTATGCGAAGCTGGAGTGTCCTCTCCAGACCACGAAGCCTGGGTAAAATAATGTGGAGGATAGGCTGTTACCCAAGCAGCAAAGCCCCCCTCTCCACATTGCTGAAATAGTCCAGTGGAAAGGCAAGAGCCAATACAACTGGTTCCAGCGATGTTGCAAGAGTTGACAGAATGACACGAACTGGCTCCGGGACTCCGGCTCCGGATTTTGCCTCAAGGTTAACTCCTGAAGCCTTTTCCATCAGTGGATATAGCCGCAACACAGTGGAGGTTTGAAATCGGAGTTTTCCTTCTCCTAGATGGGCTGTCTTCCAGGGCTGATGAGCCCCACCTACCTGGCCTGCTCTCTAATAGTGCAGAAGTATGATCTGGCCCTTTAGGCACACACTCCTGCTCATCCTCCTTTAAAGCTGAAACCCCACCCTCAGGCCATGTGGTCAGGGGAAACAGAGGTCCGCCTTGAAAAAATACCCCACCAAAATGTCTGCCCAAACAGTATTTGCAATTTACACACAAGGTTTCCCTGCCACTGAAGTGGACACAATCACAGCACATCCCTGACAGGACCAGGATAAAACAACGGGAGATTGTTATGAACAGGGAAAGAAAAGGCAGGTTTTTCTATCTTCCTTCCTCATTTTAAATTCCCTCCATGAACCAAATGTGATTACTTATTGTGGATTGCAAGTCACTAGGTAATACGGATCTCACTCTTCAATTGTTGATTCTCCACTTCCACTCCCTAGACAGGTGTTGACAGCTTGACATGTTCCCATTTTGTGCCACCACTGAGGTGAAGTTAAAATGCAATCATATGGGAGAGGATAAATGTGGGAGAATTCAACAGTTTACAGCCAATCAGAGTGTTTTGTCACAAAGTGAGGAATCAAATCATCATGTTGCTGCTGAAGCCGGTAGGATTGTTTGTATTGCAAGCACATCTGCAGGACACCTATTTGCTATTCCGCCATCAGTTCTGTGAAATTATTATGTAACCAAATACCTCTCAGGAAAAAAAAAGCTACCACAGAGACATTCCTAAGCATTCAGTCCTTCAATTGTCTAATAGGAAAATTATGTTCATCTTTACTTCGAAGTAAATTTCACTGTTTTCAGGTGAGCTTGATCTCAGGGAAGTGTGAGCAGCCTCGAAACATCAGCCTTGCAGTATGATTTGGTTCACTTCCATTCTCATTGTGTGTCTGGTTTTTGCTGATACTTTTGAAGAGGGGGGAGGAAAACCCCACCTGTTTTCTTATCTCTTAATTTGTTTCTCTCCTGATATGGAGTCACATTTGTGTTAATTGCATATGTTACAAAAAGTAGAAAGAAGAAAATATAGCATTGGTAGCCCAGCAGTTTGTTTTGCTTCAAGAAATTTCAAATGTTTTCCATTCTAACCAGAAATCTTACCTGTAATCATTCTCAAATAACTGTTGTCATCAGGTGATCTAAGTTTCATTTTTCCAACCAACTGCTGAATAATTCAGTGGTTTAGGTATCTGGCTGCAAAGAGGTTGGGAGTTCAATTACTCACTGTGCCTCCTTCACAGGGGCTGAGCTCAGTGATTCATAGGGTCCCTTCTAGCTCTGCGGTTCTAAAATTCTTATTCTTATTTGGCTTTGCTCATCTTTTGTAGTAGTAGTAGTAGTAGTAGTAGTAGCAGCAGCAGCAGCAGCAGCAGCAGCAGCAGTAATAGTTGCTATTTTTTTGACTTATATATGACTCTTTAGTGCTAGAGTTCTCTCTGGGTGGTTTACAACATAATAATACAAACAACAGGTTGCCCCCCTCCCAGTTATCAGAGTACTCATTTTACTGAGGAATAGAAAGCTGAATCAACCGTGAGCTAGCTACCTGAACCTCTTGGGACTGAACTCAGGTTGTGGGCAGAGGCTTGACTGCAGTACTGCAGTTTAATCACTGTTCATGGGGCTCATATCAGCCACAGGGCTCATAGTATAGTGCTTCCACCATCAAACCCCAGGATAAACCAGTGTTCAGTTCCATGCAACAGCATTCTGAATTATGAACCGAAGCCCATGCAACAACATCCTAGACTTTAAATACTCTCTGAATAGAGACAATATAGAAAGATATTTGTCCTTCAGATGGAAAGAGCTTATAGGTTTATCTGGCATGTGGGCCAGTAACTCCCATTCCTCCTAGAGAAGAATATCAGTTGGAACAACACATAACATTTTCTTTTGCATGCTGTAAATGTACAGTGGTGCCTCACTTAGCGATGTTAATCCGTTCCAGAAAAAAACATCGCTAAGTGATTTAATCGCTAAGCGATTTTAAAAAGCCCATAGGAACATATTAAAATGCATTTAATACGTTCCTATGGGCTAAAAACTTACCTTAAAGCGCAATTCCTCCATAGCAGTGGCCATTTTGGGTGCCTCTACAGAGAGGCAAAAGAGCGGCGACCATTTTGTTTTTGCGGCGGCCATTTTGGAATCACCGATCAGCTGTTTAAAAAAGTTCGCTTTGCCACGATGGCTCCCCCGGGATCATTGCAAAGCGAATTTTAGCCATAGAGGACATCGCTAAGCGAGCGCTCCAGCGATGGCCAAAAGTCCATTGCAAAGCAATTTCATCACTCAATGGAGCGATCGCTAAGCGAGGCACCACTGTATTTACTGTCCCTTCAGTAATCTCTCTCTTCACAGAACATAAGCATGTTCTCCTTTTTGAAAGGAAAAAAGTGGTTCATATGCAAAAACTGGCCTGAGGGACAAATGATAGTTAGGCTTCCTTTAAAACCTTAAGCATTTCACTGTAAAGGAAATCTATCATGATGGTTCTTCATAATTAAAAACCAACTGAAGGGGGAACATTAGACACAACTATCTCTAATATAAAAGATATAAGATATCTCCAGCAATGCCATAAATGTCATTTAAGCATGGTAACTTCTAGATATGGATCCACTTAGATGTTTCAATGTGATTAGCTCTCTGCTGTCAAGAAGGCATTGCACATGGCTAACTTGCAGAAGTCTAAAGCTTGGGGGAACATGTTTCATGCCCAAAATAAATCTTCTTTTGTGTTCTTAATGAATTGCAGATCCATTTGGGAAAGATGATGAGAGAGAGCCACTCACCAATGCTGTCAGGAGTGATTCAGCTGTCATTGGAGGTAAATTTCTCTCCCCCCCCCCGGCAACAGAAGATAGTTGATTGGCAGAGGGTTAATCATGCATAGTATTAATTCTTACATGGTTTCTGTTCTGTGTGGTTCTTCCTATACAATCTCCTCCATGTACTGATCAAATATATAATTCACACAATTTTTATATCAAACTATGTTTCACACCATTGTCTTATCCTTTAACACTCTTGAAACACCCCTACAATATATTTCTGTTCTATCTTTACTATCTGTTACAGTAATACAGTAATTCTAGAATACTACCTATATCACAGAAGTGAGTATACCCCCTCAGCGTGTAGTACAATTCCAGCATGAGTACAACGCTGGAATGGACCTCAACAGATGGGAAACCTTGACATCTGAACGTTCAGCCTGGAGGCAAGCGGTGCATCATGGCCTCTCCCAATTTGAAGAGACACTTGTCCAGCAGGGCAAGGCAAAGAGGCAGACCCGAAACCAGCAAAATCAGGGAGCTGGACAGGGGACAGATTGTATGTGTCTTCAGTGTGGAAGGGATTGTCACTCTTGTATTGGTCTTCTCAGCCACACTAGACGCTGTTCCAAGACCTCTCTTTAGAGCTCGTTACCATAGTCTCTCGAGACTGAAGGATGCCTAATCTAAGAGTCCACCCCCTCACATTTCATAAATATTTTAGTATATGTTTTCATGTGTCAACACTGAAGAAATGGCACTTGGCTATAATGTAAAGCAGTGAGTATACAGCTTGTATAACAGTGTAAAGGTGCTGTCCCCTGAAAATAACGCAACACACGGCCATTAATGTCTAAACCGCTGGCAACAAAAGTTATACAAGCTCTATACTCACTGCTTTACATTGTAGCCAAGTGTCATTTCTTCAGTGTTGTCACATGAAAAGATATGCTCAAATATTTCTGGAATATTTCTGAAGTGTGCTCACTTCTGTGAGCTACTATATATGGTCCTCAGGTGACTCTGCAGTGTTCAGGAAGAGAAACTTGAGAACACTGCAAAAAAGTGTGTGACAACTATAGCTCAGTGTACTGTGAGAATGGCAATTTCACAAAGCAATCTGGAATCTAGGCAGGCCCTAAAATGGAAAAGGCAGGAGTATCCAAGCCCCCCCTAAACTCACACCTGCAAGCCAGAAGGAAGGGAGGGAGGGAGGAGGAGTGAATTCCCCTTCTGGTTTTCAGACTCCAGCCCCTTCCCCCTTTTTATGATTTTCATCCCAGTGAAACTTATTAAGTACAAATTATGCTGATGTTATCTTCTTCTTATCAGCGTCAGCATGCCAACAGCCCAGAGACAAGGGCTTTTGAAGTTTCTGCTGGGGCTGTGACAGGACGTCTAAACTTGGCTCTCCGATTTCTATCTGTGCCTTCAGAGGGAGAAATCCAAACTGCTCTGGAGCCCTAAGGACATCTTCCCAAGGACAATAGCATTGCCACATTAGTATTTGAAATTGCTAGAGGTAGAACTAAAATATAAAATGTAATTTATAATGCAATCTATACTTTTCCACACATTCAGAATGCTACTTCACTTCTGAACACTACAGGGGAGAAAAATACAAGTCCAGCCATTTGCATTGAGAACATTCTCATGACTTTTGGTTTTTTAAAAAAACTTTTTAAAAATTTTTTGCTAAAAAAATAGAGAACACAGAAAGGATTTAAAAAAAAAAACAACAACTATATATCAAAATTCCTCCTACACATGATTTCTTGAAGTTCATCTGCTTCTCTCAACCCAATCCTGTTTTGAAATACAGTTCTGCAGTTCTCAGACCCACTGAGCTTCATAACTGAACAAGGTGAATTAGAATGCCCCTGAGAAAAATATTTCAATTAGCACTGTGATGCTGCACCATCTCAGTTCAGTAGCTGAAGCATTGATTTGCAGCTGGATAAGCCGAGGAGAATGGATTTCTTTTTCAAAAATGTTGCATTTATAATTGAGAGCCCAAGCAACTGGACATCTCTATCCACTATTCTGTGAGTGCAGATGCAGTAGTGACAATGAAAGTACAAAAAACTCAATTTGTGTAGGCCTCTTCCCTCTGGTGAAGATTTTCGACTTCCAAAATAACACAAGCAAATTTCCACTTGTCCAATGTTCTTTCCCCTTGTAAGGGGCAAATTGGGGAAAGGCACCCAGGAAGTTTGGTGTGGGGACGGATTAATCCAAATACCAGAACCAGTGATATCTGTTCTGCTGGCAGGCAGACACCATGGGATACAAAACCTGTCTGATGAAACAGCAGTAAAATTTGCATAAGGACTGTGGTTTTGTACCAGAAGAATTTGCTGAAATTCATTAAGAACAACTGAGGAGCAAACAGAATCACCTCAAACAGCTGTAATTCCACACAGCAACCAAGTATAGTTGATTTAATCCCCTGTGCAGCATAGTTAGAGACAAAAATCTGGATGTTATGCACCTAACATGAGTTTTACTGCATTACAGGATCTCTTACATAGTGAAATCTGCACTGACAGTAATTAGCTCCACTCCTTGCTCTTGCTTTTCCCTGATGTATGTATCTTTCCTTTCTTCCTCAGGAGTTATAGCAGTGGTGATCTTCATCATCTTTTGCATTGTGGCCATTATGAGCAGATTTCTTTACCAGCACAAACAAACCCACCGGGGCGGCCAGACAAAAGAAAAAGAATATCCAGAGCACCTTGAGAGTTCTTTTAAGAGAGATATTGACTTACAGAACACAGTGAGCGAGTGCAAACGGGAATACTTCATCTAACAGACTCTCTAGTCCCTTGTTACACTTTGGCATTTGGATGAAGGTGATGATAATGGTGATGAAGAAGATTTTTTTCCCCACCCATCCATTTCTTCGGAATTTCCCCACTTTTTTTTTCCCTTTGGAAAAGACCCACTTTGCACAGAAGAGATTGGCAGCAACTGCAGTGTCTGTGTCTCTTTGCCCAAAGGCACCACCATAGTTAATGCCAAACCACTCAACGTAAATGTTCTACCTAAGTTCTTCATAACATGCATGGTTGACTGTTTAGTTCCTGGGATTTCTGAAATGTTCCTTTCTGGACCCATTGAATTCACCATTTCATGTCGGACCTGAGCGATATATACTAGAGGTAAAGTGTACAAGCTAACTATGTAGCAACACAGCTATTGAAACAAGGTAGTGGGCAAGAATACAACCAATTTATCTTATTATTATTATTTTTTTAAATCTATATGTTTAAGAGGAGCCAAATCCTTTGTTTGCAAACTGGCATAATAATTCTGTTTCATGTTGGTGGTGCTGTATTGATTTTGCGAGCTGAGGAACTGGAGTGACTCTTTTCCTCCATATCCTTTCTTTGCCCTTTTACTGTAACTTTTTGACTAGAAGATCCCCTTTTCTGTTTTCAATGGAACAGCTCTGATGAAAGCAATGCTTCAGATTAGGGCCAGGTTGAAGTGTTCAGCCTGTATAATAGATGAGTATCCCCCTACCCAAGATTTTTAAGATCTTTGGGACTGGGCAAAATTTTACTCCCCCCCCCCAACACAGAGATAAGGTGAAAGAAAGAAAGAAACCATTGGTCCCATTTCATTTAAAGACAAACAGTACTTTAAAATGCTTCATTATAGCTGAAATCACATTAATTTTCCAGAAACATAACAGGCAGACTTTCATGTTTGAAAAACCTAATTTACAAGTTCCGGAAAATAAAAAAAAGCTCTTGCTGTGACAATCATATACAATCAGCACATAAGGAATTCCTTCTTTTAGTTGCAGGTTGTCTGTAGCATATAGTTTTGCCCTCAGCTCAGGGCAGCTATAAGTAGTAATATAGCAATCTTCCTCATCTCATAGTGCTTTCTTTCTTTCTTTCTGTCTTTCTTTCTCTCTCTCTCTCTCTCTCTCTCTCCTCTCTCTCTCTCTCTCTCTGCGAATGGTGTTCTGTTAGGATGTATAATCATTCCCATTGGGCTACTCTCTCTACAATGCTGGAGATTGCTCCCTGTTACAGCTCTGCCATAGCTTAACACCTGTGCATCCATGATAAGGCACTTTATAGTCCGTGATAAGCCATGCTCTTCCTCCCAAATATTAGAAATCTCTCCTACCTACAAATCTTCCCTCTTTTCTTATGAAACAAATGATCCTGTGAAAAAGCCATGGAAGCTTTTTCTGCCCTCCATTTCTCTAAACACACCTTTCAATTGCATCATGCATTTTATGGAGTTATCTGAAGTCATTATCCTTCATTAGCACATGCTATACTAGGCAAAACATGGAAGCTGACATCTTCAGTTCCATGGCTTTAGAAGCTTTCTAGGTGTTAAGACAACCTATAAAACCTTCAATAGAAATGTTAGCAGTGCAGATTAGAATTAACACCTAAACATAATTAGGAGGAAGGAACCAAATGTTACTACAATTAAATATCACTTCATTTTTAATAAAGTAAAATTTAGACAACAGGATTGTCCTCAGCATCTTTAAAAGCATGCAGAAAGCATGATATAATTGAACATGGCATTAAAGATGCTTTTTCATAGGATGTAGTTTCACATGTGAGATAAGACTTCAAAGGAACATAGTGCTGTGCTGCAAAGCTGCTCTACTTTTTTTTCACTATCCTCATTAAACCTAATAGAAAAGAAATTGCTTTAAAAGAAAAGTTTCAAGAAGAAAATTTCAGAAAATTCCATTGGGTGAAGTTTGGAGTTTTTGTGCTGATCTTACACTGTGGCTGAGACTTTATCAGTTTGCTTTTATTGTATAATCGTCCACCTGGCCCCCTGGAGCTTCCACAGCTTTTCAGACTTCACCTAAAGCCCACGGGGAGACGTCCTGAAGTAACATCTTCCATGGGGCTTTTTTATCCCAGGAAGTGCAGACAGTCAGGAGAAAATGTGAAATCTATAAAACAAAGCCACCTTGCAGTACCAGCCACCTTGCAATGAGTAGTAAGGTAAGCTCCAAAATACCAGCCCAAGAAACTCTAAAGAAATTCTAAAGTGTCCTGAAAACTAAGTATAAGAATGGAAGCCTCTTTCATGGCAGAATAAACACTGAGAACAACTAGAGGAACTATTTTCAGATGACGCTAGTGGGAAGTTTCCTTCTTATTCCCTCTGTGGTCATCAGATTTAAAAGAAGGACAACTCAACCCTAGGCATGGGATAGAAACAGAAGGCTTTCATATATGAAAGTTAAGGGGAAGAGGACCTACCAGCACTCCAATCGAATGGTGGGACCTTCTATGGCCATAAGATGGTGCCACATGTCAGTTGCCTCATTAATGGGATACCTAGGATGGGACTTTGGACATAAGGCTATGGGAAGGGGTGGGATTTAACTTGTGGTCCATAACAACCCAACAGAATTCTGCAACAGTATTGATAGATTTATGAGCCATTCTGCAATAATTTGATATTTCTGGCTGGCAAAATCTGTCAGCATCCATGTTGTCATCTTCCTTTGGGCAGTGTCAGTAGGACTGCAGATTTTAGCTGCTCAGCGTCCTAAAAAAAACATTCGAACTTTGCTTGCCTTGTTGTTGTTTTTTCCGCAGGAACACAGTTCAATCTTTTTTGTACTCCTGGTTTTATTTTATCTTATTTCTTATTGGGTGCTCTGTCTCTGAGGAAAGAAAAGTGCTTCAGTCCTTGGGACTGTTAATGTCTTCTTACACTCCTTTTTCACAAAGGGGATGTTGTGACTACAGATTCATCTGCCTGGTGTCATAATGTCTATGACATACAGCAAAAGCTGCTTTCCCCAATATATTCCCCAAACATTTGTTCCTCCTTGGCTAGAGACATGTATTATATCCCAGCGCAGGAACAGGTAGATCTTCCAATTCCCTTTCGCACGTATCAATGATCAAATTGAGCCCACCACCCCAACATACATTTCCAGAGCTTTTGTAGATTAACAGTGGAATTCATGGAAGACACATTGAACACATCTGGAAAGAAAGCTTAAGGCAGTTTGGGACTCAGATTTCCTTTCCAGAGAAAAACATGTACTGTACCTTGAAAATAGTTAGAGAAGACACTTTCCATTCTTGGACCAGTGGCATGATCTGTGCACTGAGCACTCCACTTTATGAAGCACATTTTATTGAATCTAATGATAATGCTATCACCTCAAGCCCCTGCTAATCAGCATGAGCAGATTCCTTAATGTGACAAGGTTAATTCTGATGGCACTCCGCAATGTTACTTCTGTATTTCCCCCTTCGAAGTTCTCTGAGTTATGTTTTAATTACTGGAGCTTGTGGGAAGAGATAAAGATAAAGGGGAAAACCCAAACAAATCTAAGAATCTGTATAAAGTATCCACATTTGAATCCTTTTCCTTATATTCACATTTCTCGTTATTTATTTTTTTCCTGTTCTTGGCCATCTTATTTTATATGATTTTACTAACCGGTAGCCATGTGTCCAAAGCATCTGTAATTGCTTTCTGTAGAAAAGAGAAAGAGGAAAGAAGCAAAATTAACATTTTATTTTGATAATTCCCCTCCGCAACATAAAGGATTGTGCCATATTTTCTCCTTATTCGGCACAGCTGCTATAAGTCACCCATTTGCTCTGCTACTTCTGCTTTTCCTCCCCTCAATATAAAAATCAGCCTAAAGCCTAGGAAAGCAGACCCCCAAGCAGATACAGTGAGGGGATAAAAAGTAATGGTATGGGAAATAAAGCAGAGCTGGATCCTTTCATTGTTCAAGTAATTGACAAGTCTGAGCTGGTTTCTCACAAAATTGTCACATTCTATTAGCTTCATAAAAAATGCATTTTTTTCTAAAAAGAAAGCAAAATTGCACACATTTCCTCCCAGTGCATAATCCATTTTTGGGAACTCAAGTAAATGTGTAAACTTACTTTCTAGTGAATATGCACGACTATTAATTCAGTATTTGAAGCTGTTTGCTGCCTGTTTGTCTTATATTGCTTTTACAGAATCTGCATATAAAAATATGACCGAACCTCAGTCATGGCTTCTGAGGAAGAGAGGATGTTATGCTCTCAGATTTAGAGAGGCAGTTAGATTTGACTAGGTTTTCCATTCTGCCTCCTTATCTTAATTGGCTCACTCCACACTGGTGCACTTTGTGTTAATTGGAAGTTTTCTTGTATAGAACAGACACTTATAGAACAATAGAGAACTCAGTTGAGCAGAAGCACTTGGATTTAAGTTTAATTAGCCCTGTTGTAATCAATAGGATAAAATCAGTACAAATTCAGTATCCCCTTGTTTCTCTTAGCTGGGTTATAGATGGAGTTGCCCATTTCATTAATGGACATTATATTTCTTGTTTGCTAGCTTGTAGGTGTCATTTTCACACTCATTAAACACAAGCAATACAAGTAACATTGGAAGGTAACATCTGGATTGACCCTCGAATCTACCAGTTTGATCACTAGTGTTGCTAGGAAGAGTCATCAGTAGTGAGAAACAAAAGCCTGAATTCTGCCTTATCTGTAGACTGATTTCAGATTATGGCATAATCCCTTAAAGCAAAAGCTATTTTGCAGTTCCTCTGACTATAATTAAATAAATAAATAAATAAACAAACAATCAAACAAACACACCACTAACAACAACAAGAACAATAATTTTGGCTCCATTTTGGAAACAAACAAACAAATAAATAAACAACAATTTTGGCTCCATTTTGGTGTAAGGCAACTCTTTCCAGGGTTTTCCAGGTAGGGAATAATCAGAAGTAGTTTATCATTCCCTTCTTCGAGGAGCCTCCTGGGACTCACGACACAATGGAGTGGAGTGAGCCCAAGGCCACACAAGCTGGCTCTTCTCCTGGGAGGCACAGTGGCTCCACAGCCAGATACCTAAACTTCTGAGCTATTCAGCCAGCTAAAGAAACAAAACCAAGAATGATTTAACAATCAAACTAGTTATTAAAGGGAGTGCATAGGTTACGAGTATACAGTTTTCCCACTTATAGTGGAATTTTCTTAGAGATATGTGCATCACCAATCAGATTTACAATATAACTGTGTTTGCCTTCCAGTGACCAATCATAAGGCAAAACACACTAAATGCAAGATATGGGGGTGAGGAATGTAATGTATGAGAAACAGGCAACTTTCACAACTTGAGAAAACACACATCTGTCAAAAACATGACAATCATACCACCCAGTCTGATCCATAGTTTGGCTTTGGTAACCAATCAGATTGAAGTTTCAGTCTGAATGGCTATTACTTTAATCAAACATGTCATAGGACTAGAAGCAGAGTTACTGTAACCTTCCACCAGCAAGAATTCCCAAATGAATTTTGGGATCCATCCAAACTTTTGGAACATATTGTAAAGGCAAATGGGGGAGGGGGCTGCAGTGGGAGGGGGAAGGTTAAAAGATCATCTCTTTCCCAAAAGAAAAGTTAACACAGGATTGAAATATGCCATGCATCTCCATAGTTTAGCTCGAATCATTTCTGGATCAAGTTGTTGCTCTGGAAAGTTTTTTTTTTCTTTAGATAAGTATCTTCATAAAGTTTGCAGCAGTGGCCTACAATCTCTTTGACTTTGAGGATTGTATCCAATGTTGGCTGAGAGGTTCACTTTTATGTGCACATCTGCCCCCCCATCTGAGCACATACACATTCTTACCCCCACCCAACATATCTTAGGAGGCTTCTGTTCCCTAGGCTGTGGAGACAGGTAAGCAGGATCCTACCTGGTTTGAGACTCACACGAAAGGAGACAAGAGTTTCACGCAATTAGAGCAGTGGTTCCCAACCTTTTTTTTTAAATCAAGACCCACTTTTATAAGAGCCAAGTAACCTGCAAACCCCGCCTACCACATTTGCATTAAAAGGCATTTTTAATTAGGTCAGGTCATCCCTTCTCAGAAAGCAGAGGCTTCTTTCTTCCCCAAAAGACCTGTTTCTCATAAATACACCATGATAATTTTAATATCCAGCTCTGAATAGTCAAGGAAGGAATTATTTAACAAGGACAACAACACTGGGATTCCCAGTGTGCTGTAGTGTATAGAGTGATGGACTAAGGTCCTGGAGAACAGGGTCAAAACCCCAGTTGGCTATGGAAATTCACTGGGGTTTCCAGGGAGATATTTATGAAATGGAAATGGTAAAACCGCTCCTTAAATATCTCACACACCTATTGGTGTCACTATAATTCAGTTCCAATTTGACAGCACAAAACACTTAGACAGAACGTATATAAGGCAACTTATGACCTCCACCCAGAAAGCACCCTGCAAGCCCCTTGGGAGACATGACCCCCAGGTTGGGAAATACTGCATAATCTGTGTACCTTTGCATTAGAGAGCTACTATCAAAACAAAGTGATGAAAGAAACCTTATCGAGAGCTGTTCCTCCAGGCCTATATAAGCATGGCACTGGTTACCTTCTGCCTTTGTTACTTGCCTGAGATTATCATAGTGGAAGCGCATCTGAAATATGACATCATTTTCACCACTTGAGGCTTATGGACCACATTAAGGCCTTGTGGGCCTAAAGTTGTATTTATAGCTGGGACATAAATGGGATGTGCCTTTGACAGCAAACAAAACAAATGCCTTATAAATTCTGTAAAGCTCTCAGAAATCTCATTTTTCCTTGTCAGCCACTGTGCAATTTTGAGATGCACCTCTTAATCAGAAGAATTTAAATCATCTGAAGAACCTCTAAATCATTTCAAAAGAGGTTTGGCTGATTTAGGTGGCAAGGGAACACAAAGCTCCCCCCACCTCCTACCGCCTCCTGGAAGAGGGGATTTTTCCCCCGCAAGGGCACCTTCATAAACTGACATCCTAGTTTGTAAACTTAACTAATATTCTGGAAACTGTATGGTGCTGCAGTATAGGGATGTGATTAAACTCTAGATATTGATTATATATATATATTAATTTAATATAAACCAATATATCAATGTATGCATCAAAATTCAAATTAAGCCCTTACAACCTTGTCTCAGGTTTACAAGAATGAAACAAACCATAAAATATGTGAAATAATAAGACAAACAAACAGCCACACTCAAGAATCTTTTTAAAATGTAAAGCAGCAGAAATTTGAAGAGTCAATAAAAAGCTAAGAGAAACAGAAAAATGCGTGAAGCCTACTTAAAAATCACTAATGAAGGGTCATGCATAATTGTCAGGGAAGGAATTCCAAAAATGTGGGGCTAGCACTGAAAAGGCCCTATAAGAAGTCATAATGACAGGCTAGACAGCAGAGCTTTAAAGTCAATTCACTCTCAGGCCTGGACAGGTTCATATTGCTGGAGATATTCATTCAAATAAGTAATTCACTCAACAAGAGCCAGCAATGGAACAAAGCCACATTTTACCACAGTGGCAAGTGGCTGCCTCGCTGAAGCCCACATATTCAGTTTCCAACAATGTACCCTGACCTGTGTGGGTTCACTGATGCTGAAGATATCAAATAGGGGTTGGCAGGTGTGATTGAGCCATGATAAATTTGCAGTGTAATAAAAGACAGGTAATATAATTCATTGTCACCTGAAATGCAGTCTTTTTCAGTGTAATTGATTTGCATGCTAAGCTGGCAATTAATTTCCGAACTCATGAGCAATCAACTGACATAACTAAACATGCCCCAGGCTGGAGGCCTGCAAAGTAACTAAATTTATTGGAGATTTGACGATTGATCATTTTCTATTATACAGAAAGGAATTATGTGGAAATTATGAGAGCAGAGTCAACTCCTTAGTAGTTCTTTGCTTTAAAAAAAATCCTTGGCTCTCTGTGATCAGAAACAGATGTTACAGGTAGCCTGTAGTAAGAAGAGGAAAATCCTTAACTAATGGAAGTATCTGTGTATCACAGCTGGAGTTTCTGCCACCTCAGAAGTGTGCAAATTCACTTCATTTAGTACTTGGTCTTTGGGACTTCAGCAGATGATTCCTTTGAAGTTTGATTTGCAAATATGGACAGACTGCTTCAGTCATCTTTCTGCAACATTAATGTGCTTTCAGCTCTAATTACAGGCTATCTCTACTGTCTATCCTAAGCCTGATAGCTTGATAGCTGCAAGTCTGAATTCCAAGATTAATCACTGAAGTAAAACTGCAGGATGATGCATCACCTACCACTGAGATAAAAAAGGTTAAATTAATTAATTACCTTTTGTTCATTGTGAAGAAGATATAGAAACATCAGATTACATTTGTGTTTTGCTATATTTACACTTTGTTAATTTCGCTCCAAAGCAGGAAAAAAGGATGATGGTTGGGACAAGAACAACAACAACAAAAAGACACACCAACTGGGATACTGCTTGAATTTGTAAATTAGTCAT